GAATTTGTAACTGTCCTATAAATTGACGACTATGACACCTCCCTTCAATTTCTCTTGACTCAGCTCTTCCAGTTCAGGAAAAATCAATATATCGTATGTCAAGACCTACACAAAGAAACATCTCAGAGCAGAACAGAAGTCTCTGAGTGAATCTGCTAATTCACACTTTTTTGGAGAGTAGGCAGACACATTATTCTGCAAAGATAAATCCTTTCTCTTTAAGCCCTCACTAATCTATTGTAAATAAAGACCCTGATCATGACAGCTAGAAAATACTATCAGTGAGATGGTATCAATAGAAATTGCAACATATTACTCCCTCATAGATAACAAAGTTGACCTTAACAACACAAAATAATACTCTATACATACCAATACCTCTACTAATTTGGACTTTCCACAGAATTAACTCTCTCGAAAGTCTTACTACTCTAGCGACCTCAAGTGCAGACGGAAGCATACACATTCCAAAGCTACCCCGGTGGGCCCCATCAGCAACAACAGAATAAGAAAAGTTGTTCAGGGAGACAGTTTCTGAATCTCCCTAACTCCTGTCTCTATGCTTTCTTTTAATAAGTGATCTTTTTAGAATAGTTTTTCATTTATAGAAAGGTTACAAAGGCAGCAGGGAGAATTCTCACTACACCTCACACCTAGTTTCCCTCTTAACAACATTTTACACAAGTATACTATATTTGTTACAATTAATGAACTGATATTGATAGATTATTAACTAAAACTCACATGTTATCCAGACTTTTTTCATTTTTGCCTAATGTCCCTTTTCTGTTTCAGGATCCCATTCAGGGTACCACACTACATTTAATTGCTATGTTTCCTTAGGCTCATCTTGACCTCATCTTAAGCGCTTCTTAGGTGCTCTTGGTTTTTGATGACCTTGACAGCTTTAAGGGGCACTAGTAAGGTAATCTGGTATAATGTCCCTCAGTTTGGATTTATCTGATATTTTTCTCCTGATTAGACTGGTGTTACATGTTTTTGGAAGGAAGACAATAAAGGTAGTGTCATTCTCATCACATCATATCAAGGCTATATACTATCAACAGGACATACCACTGTCATTGTTTGATTTTAGCCTCGATTGCCTGCCTGTGTGTCTGTAAGGCTCCTCCACGGTAGGCTTACTTCTTTCCCACCCCTTTCCATAGGGTACTGTTTGGAAGGAAGTCACTATGTGCAACTCATAAGGAGCACTGAATTATGTAGAATTATTTGGAAATCTTCTGCAGCGGAGATGTGTCTATTTTCCTTCATTTAGTTATTCAATTGTATATTTATATCAGTATAGATTTATCTTATACTTCAGGGTTCTAATCCAATACTACTTGATTTTGTTGCTCAAATTATTCCAGCTTTGACCACTGGGAGTTCTTTCAGATGGTTCTTGTGTCCCTCTGACATCCCTGTGAATTGTTTTGAGTTTCCCTATACTATCTGGCACAAGATGCTTCAGACACTGTCTTGTACATTTCCTGCCCCAGTCCAAGAATCATCCATGTCTGCAAGGAGCCCTAGTCCCCTTTACTGAAGAACAATATTAAAAGCCGACATCTATGCACTAGTTGTATATATATATTTTTAATACCTATTATTAGAGCTAAACATGAAAAACTTCCAAAATAACACATTTTGAGGACATTAAAATTAATGAAGGAAAAGCGACAGAAAATTTTCAGCTCCATTCTAGAATTTCACAGAAAAACCTAGGTAGCTTTTCTCTTTGGGTATTTATTAGAAATCAGAAAGAAATGTCATGATCTTTAATTTTAATGTAATAAGATGGCAAGGGCTAAAACAACTGCTTAATTTTATGTTGTTTTAAGGTTAATCTTGCAAAACATATGATGTATTCCTAATGATTTAATAGAAAAATAAATCTGATATCTAATAATACATATGTATGATACTGACATGATATGGCATGAGATGAGAAATTATCTGGCCCCATTCCAGCCTCAACAAGCCTTATGCAGAGATTGTCCCTGAGGGCTAAGGTCACACCTCAAAATATCTTCCATCTTATTTTCCTTCTGGGGCTACAAGAAGAAAATAGGTAATGGAGGCAGGAAGTATCTGGACATTAGTAGCAATTAAATTAAGAAGAGGTTTCAATCCCCACTCTGTCTGGGCTTCCTCCTAGGAATGGATGTCAGTCCAGATCATGGGGAGACAGCGTTAAGATGATAAAGCATGATAAACATCTGTTCTATTCAAACCTAAGTAACAGCGCTTCCAAAGACTCTTGACTACATCTCTGAGATCTCAACAAACTGTGGTCTAACAATTATGGGAGACAGCTGGAGCTCTGAGGGAGGAAAAGTATTCTCATCCAAACTAGGCTGGTTATGTAAGGAAATACTTGGAATCCCAAGCATACCTGTGATTAGGCTAAAAACATTTGCCTTCATTTTCAACTGTGCACCTGCATCTTTAAGGCAACTAACAAAAGCTAGAAGTCCATTAAGGCTCATCAGCAACAAAAGGCTCAAGGCTCAGGCAAGCTCCTCAGACTTTCTCACATTATATTGTTCTCCCATCTAATATTTTATTTTAATCCAGGCACAGCTGGGAGACACTACATTTAGCAAGATAAATTATCAGTCACTAGCTGAAATAGTGAAAAGACCCATGGTTAGGAAAAAATTCAGATAGAGTTCAAGAAGTGAAGTGAAAATGTTAGTAGCTTAGTCGTGTCCTGCTCTGTAATCCCATGGACATTAGCACGTCAGGCTCCTCTGTCCACGGAATTCTCCAGGCACGAATACTGGAGTGGGTTGCCATTCCCTTCTCCAGGGGATCTTCCCAACCCAGGGATTGAACCGGGGTCTCCCATCTTGCAGGCAGATTCTTTACCAACTGAGCCATCAAGGAAGCCCAGAGTTCAGCATTTTTGCCTAATTTTGCCCAATACTGGTCTAAGAATCCTGTATGGAAGACAAGATGCCTAATTTTGAATTTTAATTTTTCTATTATCTAGTTCAACTAGCACATGAAAATTATTTTACACTTTGACAGCTCCATTTCATCAACCAAATACCACATGGCTGAATTTGTTGAATATTATTAAGATTCCATAATCTACTTTATTCCTGGGCAAGAGTAGCGTGTAGCCTTAGAATGAACCAAATCAATAGGAGTTGAGCAGTTAAAGAGAAAACAACTGGAATTTCAGCAATCATGTGATGTTTTTTAAATTCACTCTAGTGCTGTCTATAAAGAAGGTGCTAAGACTCCAAACCTAAACCTGAAATGAAGAAAGAGGAATGACTCTAGGAGAGATGAGAGCTGCCATCTTCTGAAGAGTCATAAAACCACTGGCATGCCTATTTGAATGGAATAAACACCATGTAGGAGTCTTCGTGCATTCATTTCCTAACTTTATCTCCACAAGCATACTCATGGAAGAGTCACAGAAGGCTGGAATCTCTTTATGGTAGGTGTGCCAAAGAAAGAGAAAAAGTGGGGACAGAGAAATAAGAACTAAGGCCTAGAAGTTACTGCTGGGGAAGTATCCAGGTAGAATAGGATTTTTTCCCCCTCTTTTTCTTTTTCTCTCTCTCTCTTTTTAATAGTAGATAACATACAATATCACTGTCAGATATACAACATGGTGATTCCATATTTTTATACACTGTATGATAACCACCAAACCATCATGGGCCTAGTTACCATCTCGTCGGCATGGAAAGCTATTACACTGTTACTGACAATATTCCTTGCTATACATTACATCCTGTGACTTATTTATTTTACAACTGGAAGTCTGCACTTCTTAGTACCTTTTGTCCATTTCACCCATTGCCCCTTGCTCACATCCCCTCCCCTCTAGCAAACACTGGTTTCTAACTTGTGATTCTAAAATGGAACTTTTTTGACAGGTGAAGTATGATTTACTTCACATCCCTGTGCACATAACAAGATCATAGATGTTAAAATGCAATTCCTTGTTTTTTCTCTCAAAGTCCATGTCTTGAACCTTCTTATACTGTTGGTGGGAATGTAAAATGGTGAAGTCACCATAGAAAATAGTATGAGGGTTCCTCAAAAGAAGCAAAAATAGAGTTGCCATATGATCCAGCAATTCCACTTCTGGGCATATAATCAGACAAAACTCTAATTTGAAAAGATACACACTCCCTATGTTCACAGCAGCACTATTCACAATAGCCAAGACAACAAATGTCCATCAATAGATGAATGGATAAGAAGACGTGGTACATATATACAATGGAATAATACTTAGCCATAAAAAGAAATTATGCCATTTGTAGCAACATGGACAGACCTAGAGATTATCATACTAAGTGAAGTAAGTCAGAAAGAGAAAAACAAATACCATACGATATCACTTATATGCGCAATCTAAAAGATGACACAAGTGAACTTATCTACAAAACAGAAACAGACTCACAGACATAGAAAACAGACTTGTGGTTTCCCAAGGGGAGGGGCTGGGGGAGGGATGGAGTGGGGAATTTGGGATTAACAGATGCAAACCATTATATACAGAATGGATAAACAACAAGATCCTACTGTGTGGCACAGGGCACTCACTATATTCAATATCCTGGGATAAGCCATAATGGAAAACAATTTCAAAAAGAATGTCCATATATAAAACTGAATCACTTTGCTCTACAGCAGAGACTAAAACAACACTACAAATCAACTATACTTCAATTTTTTAAAAAACACATTTTCCTTTTCAGAGAAAGAGTTAAAGAGAGAAGAAATGAAACTAAGATTCTGCTCTCAAAAATGATCTATAGTTATGAGCTTTTACCAAAGAATCTTTATGTCAAATGATTTAAAAACCAGGGGAAGCTTTAAAAAAAAATAGCTGAACGGTTTAAGTGTATGAGAAGAGCATTTCCTGCCAGAAGGATTTCCTGTTGTAGGCAACCACAGGGGACGTGGTGGGGAAACATCCGCCTGCAACCGCAGCCGTGCTTCAAAGGCCATTTCTCTCTGCTACTCACCCTTCCTCCCCGACGAATGTGACGTACAGCTTATTTCTCTGCAGGTCTTTTCTGGAGTACCCCATAATTTGATTAAAAGCATCTTCGAGCAAGTGATCTCTTCTGATAATTAACCTGTCCGTAAAGAGACAATTTGAAAAAGCACAGATGATTTCCTAATTCTTATCTTTCCGAGCACTTACCATTTAATTTCCATTTACCACAACTAGGTGAAAAGTAGCATGACTTATTATCATCGCTGTCTGCAATAAAGCACACGTCTGTCTTTAACTCTTAATAGCATTAACAAAAGTTACATCAGAGAATCATTGGTAAATAGAGCACCCCACCGAAGACCTGTAAAAACAATGCAAAAGTTCTTTCTGATGGTCAAATTCATTTATCCTGGGAGAAAAATCATTAAAAACAAGACACACACTCATAAAACTTTTGTTTATAAAAGGAAGATTAAACCTAGGAGGTAATGTTTTAAGCATTCTATGTAATGAATGCACCTAGACCAGGAATTCAATTCTTAAGTAGCTAAAAAGATGACAGTGAGAACAAGAAGGACAAATTTTTAGTGTCCTTTAAAGAAGAGGAGTTTACATAAATTTCTCTAACTTTAAAATTAGGTGAACCTTGAAACTCTCTAGGTGACAGATAAAAATGAATGATACTTGGAGTTGATTAATCTACTTATGACAATGGCAATTTAAGTCATCTTTAAACAGGTGTCAATTTTCCCTTAATGCAAATAGTAATGGAAAGGGAGATGACAGGGAAGCCAAAGGCATGAAAGTTTGAGCAGCAAGATTTTCATAAGTGAAGCTAGAGAGTGAAGTGTTTGGAGCAGGGTGGTGTTTTTTAAGGTGACGAAAGGGGAACCTGCAAGTTCAGTGGAACAAGCTCTGCACGGCGGCAGTGAGCTGCGCAGCTGTTGGGCTGGGCATTTTTCCTGGCACACCCAGGTCATGGTGGGGCTGCAGTCAGACCCCCTCCTCTGTCCTCTCAAGTGGCATAGTGATCTCTAGTGGAGACATGAGATGGGGTGCGGTGGGGCTGAAGGGAGTATGGGTAAGTGGGAAATTCACGTAATTCTGGGCCAGACAACCTGATGATCTTTCAATTTCCCCATTTAAAGGGGGGTAGATAAAGACAGGCAGAAACAACAGTCATGCCATATTCTGTTGGACAAGTGAAGCTTATTTCACGGAAGGAAACAGAGCTACGCAGTGGTGGTCCTATACCCCAATCAGCCAGGCAACACAGGACTCTGTGACAGCCTTATGTCCAGTGAATAGGTGAGCAGTCAACAAAGAGGTACTTTTCAAGAGAACAAAATAAATCTGCTTTTCATTTTGCTTATATTTTCACATGAAGCATGATTGCCACTTTCCTGTCTGCTTTAAAACCTTAAGTTTAATTGTGCTTAATTCCACAACTATGTTTTAGGTGATACTGTGATTTACACACACCAAAATAATTATGTCAACTAAGCAAATTCTGGTCATCCCAAACCACAGTCTATTTCCTACAATCCCCAAAGCATCGCATCCTATTACCCCATCTGCCAACCCTGGGGTTTGTATCATTTTGACTTACTTTAGTTTCCCTGGGCCTTGTCCATATCCTTTAGTCTCTAACTTCCTGTAAAAGTTCCTTAGTTTGGCTTCAAAGTCTCGCTTGTAAGGGGCTGGAGCGCGGGCATTGGCACGCTGAGTACCTACAGCAGACCACAAAGAGACAAGGGTGTGGATTTGATGCCCATCACATCACCATGAAAAAAATACCACCATGGGGCTGAGGCCACAGTTAACAAGTAAAAGGAGGCTACACTTTCGAGTTCCTGCACTTTCACCTCTCTGAGTCGAAGGACATCACAGGGCTTAACCAGGATCTTAAGATGTCTTAGGTGTCTTCCCTGTGGCCTTTTGGTTGAGAATAGCAATTCTTTTGAAGAATTAATGGTGCCTATGTGTTAGTCAGTATGTTCCTCTTTTCAGCCCAAACTAATATGAGTCAAACAGAGTTACTCATGTCTGATGGTGAGATGGTATCATGGCAGTTAGACAGGAAGTCACAGTGTGAAAGTACGTGGTACCCAAAGCCAGAGAGGTGAGTTCCCATACTTGACGAAAAACCTTCAAAAACGTATTTTTGATATGTACTGTAACACAACTAAGAAATACTGTAGACACATAATTTCATACATTTCATACTACAGGGTAGAAAGATACTGATCTGAAACAAAATTTAGCCATAACTGCAGAAAGCCCACATCTCCTGGTTGTGTAAATAATACTGCGATTTGTTGTGTTCTTAATATGTGCCAAGTACTGTGATGACCTACAGATTATCTATAAAGATGTTTTACATGTCCTTCCACAGCGAGCATAATTAATAACATATAAAAGCAACATAGTTTGTTCCCCCTTTCCATGGAAAAATCTGGTTCTGTGTCACACTGACCAACTGACAAGCTGGGATACAAAGCTGATGATAGATGTGGGAATCAGCCACCATGACAAAAATATAGGAGACTTCCACTAAACTTCACAACACAGTAGAAGACACAAGGGAACACAACTGGTGATGTTTCTTACATCACACACCGTGCAAGCTCCTTCCATGTGTCCTCAGGCATGAATCAACTAAGTGATGATTATTTTTTGCTAAAACTGTTCCGCACCAGATGCTCAAAAAGAACAAGGTCAGGTTGCTGGAGTGGGTATCTTGGTTGGGAATACAGAAATAGTATGCATCAAACAACTAGAGAATGGCTAAGTCCTAAACTAGATGGTATACAAAACTCCTATAAAGCAGAAGGAATAAAACTATAGCCCAGCCTTATAAAACTAAAAATAAAAAATAAAACTATAAAACTAAAAAATAAAACTATTTATTTTTAAAAATATTAATAAATAAAACTAAAAAATAAAACTATAGTTCGGGTATGGCCGAGCTGTACTTGGCCCTATCGATCTATTTTGTTTGCCATGTAATGTTCTTAAATTAACTGTCAACATTTAAAATTTAGGAGATTTCAAGTAAAAAAAAAAAAAAATCTGATTTCTCCTGAAAATTATCTAGGGACTTTTGTAACAACTGGCTTGCATTTCCCTAGGAGGACAGTTTCCCCTTCAGGTGAAGTCTGTGCTCCCCACTGTGCCACAGCCTCTCAATGACAATGCATTTGAGACTAGTGTTACAGAAAAGTAATAGTAAATGAGGATAAACAGAGATCAAAATGTTACTGGAACCAGGCTTTATAAACATGGGAGAACCCATAGTCTATACTGAGGCAGGGCAGCAGGAGCTGGAATAAGCATTGCCTGCAGGTTCAGAAGACACTGTGGAAACCCCACTAACCTAGAGCAGATGGGGAATGCTGGAAAGTAGAATATTAAATAGGTCAGAAGTCTGATACCAAATTATGAGAAGACTTTTTAAAACCTAGCCCAGAAGTGTGAGCATGATGCAGCAAGCAGGGGGAACCCTGTATAGGTTCTTGAGCAAGGAAATAACAAACAAGTGATGCTTTCCTTCAAAAATGAAGGAAATCATTCCTTCAGAATCATTTCCTTCAGAAATGATTTTCAAAGTGTGCTGAGTGGATTGAGGACAGGAAGGAGGAAAGACTCAGGAGTAGCTGTGGAAACAAGCCTGAGGGGATGAGGACCAGCCTGGACTGGTGACTCAGAGGGGCTTTCACAATGTGAAATAAGAACTGGTAACCATAGGTAAGTGAGGAAGAGAAATAAGACGCTCACATGGTAATATAAAACCTTTTAAACAGTAACAAGAGTTGTCATTTGTTGTGTCTGCTCTGCAATAGAGAACATTCACTTCACAAAGCGGATCTTGGGAAATCCTCACAAGTCTAAGAAGGAGGCATTGTTATTACTACCGTCACCAACACTTTGTAACTAAGGAAGCTGAAGGCATATGCCAGTGAATGGTAGATTTAGGATCTGAGCCAGTTCTGACTGACGCTGGAGGACGGGGGACATGTGAGGCTTTATCCATACTAAGCTGGAGACGAGCACTGTTCAGGTGGATATACCCTATCAGCACTTGAAAATATAGTACTGGACTTTCAGTGTGAGATCCAGACCACACTTGGGGATTAAATAAGTCAGTGTATGTGTGGTACAGCACTTCACGCAGTGCCTGCTGCATCAGCAGCCCATGTAAATGTTGTTATTGCGATTATCTGCATAGTGGTGAATACTAAACACATGGGGAAATGCAGTGGGATTTGGGGAATGGAATTTAATAAAATCATCTATTGGTTAGTAATATGTGCAGAGCTCTATTGGCATAATTATGAATCTTACCCAAAAAGCTATGCCACAAAGGAAACAAATAAACTTGACCTTAAAGGCCTGGGATACAGAAGGCTCCTAGGCAGTAGTTCTCAATCTTGAATGTATATCAGAATCACTGAGGATGCTTTTAAAAAACCCAATGTTCAGGCCACAGCCAGGACATACTACATGAGAGTCGGTGGGGATGAGACATAGACATACGTGTGTCATGCAGGTCTCCAGATGATTCCAACATGCAGCCAAGGCTGAGAACCATTATCTCCCAGAAGAAGGTCAAAACTAACCAATGAAACCCCTGGGCACCATCCAGGGACAAAGTGGGGGTACTTCCCATGTATTCGTAAGACATCCTCTGCAACATGAAGGAACAGGATCTGCATGAATTCTAGGCTCCTGTCTTGCACGGCTCAGGGGCAGAGGCCCGCAGCACAAGGGCAGCCAGAGTGGCAGAATAAAGCTGTGCGGCCGCAGTCTGAGCAACTGCAGACAAGTAAGCCCAGACAGCTCAGAAAGCAGCCATGATGAATCAGCTCTCAAGAGCACAGACATTGACAGGGACGAGGAAGAAGAGGAACAAAAGACTGAGAATCTTTCCAGACACAAAAGAAACACAATTCTTTAAGAGCTGATTACTTTTTAAAAACAGCACATATTCTACTGCCATATAATTTGAGATGCTTAAAAGGACGTGGGAAATGCCATAATGCATTCCATCAATATCAACACAGACACTTAATAAAAATTAGCTCTAACTCCATTTAAGCTCTAGGTAAAGGAATTCAATTACGGAGACTCTGGAGACAGAAACTGTTAAACGCAAACATTCTTTTGCTAATAGTTCTATTATGAAAAAATCATTTACACATTACATCATGGTTTAAAAATTACAGTAAATTATGCTGCTGGCCCTTGTCAAAGTCTTAATGCAAGTCAGGTGCAACTGCCAAGAAAATCCAGGGCAGAAACAATACTACTTCCACTTTGGAAATAAAGAAAAAAATATCTTGGAGAGTGAGCTCACAGAACTGAATAAGAATCATAACTGCAAGTGAAGTTCTAGGATATGATTCACTTAGAGAGAGAGTCATGTCATAGTCTTCAGAGTCTTAAAAAAGGAAGTCAGATACAAAAGGCCAACATTGCATACAAGAAGTGATCAAATAAAAGGCTGATTTTATGAAGAGTCAGTATTATGTTAATTATTTGCAGGAAAAATTTCGGTAACAGATATGACTTTAAAAAAAAGAAATTGCTAAGCAGTTCTAAAGCACTCCCATATAACGCTGTTAAGATTAGTTCCATAGACTCTTACAAAACTGCACAGTCCTATCCAAACAAAGAATTCTACCAGAGGATTTCTTTTCTAGGTGATACTAAGAAAAACCTTGGCATCAAACTGCTAAGAAGTCTGCGTCTTCTTTGATGCTGGGTGTGACACCCAGAACCCAAAACGCTCTGATGACTGGCTCTTGGTCTGTGGTGGAAGGGTGAAGCTCAGCCCAGCTCAGCATCCCTATGAACTGGGATGCCTGAGAAGAGCATTTCTTTTCTGTTCACTTCCTAAAAACAATAAACGCTATGACTTTCTTTTTTATAATTCCCTGTTAGTGAATGAGAATAAAGTATCAAGCACTCAAATAATTTCTGGAAAACTCTATCTTCTGGAACATAGATCAACAATGGAATTAAGAAAAAACTCATAAAAGTAGCTGGTACAGAGTACAAGCAAGGAAGTCCCAGCAAATTTTGCTTTATTCTCTAAGAGTCATGAAAGGCCCTCACGTCACTGTTGTGACCTTGTTGATGATTCTACTTACATACCATTTGTTAAAAAAAAAGAAAAAAAAGAACAATCTGATATCTGATTTTTCAAATGTTGGCAAATTAAAAGCAGTTTATTAAAAGAGGAAGGCTGGAGGGCATGCCAGGGACTGGCATCCTCTGAGAACACCAAGAGCAGGGAACAAGGAAGAGTAACAGAAACACAGAAATAAAAACACCTGCATACTGTGACAGAGACAGTAGTACGTGGTTCTCCTTCAGTCTCTGGAATCATACCCCCATCCCCACCCACTAATGAAGAGCTTCCTTCATTTGCATTGTTTGGTTCCTAGATCACCTCTGTGGGGCTGAGCAAAGAGCCCCACAGATACACAGCTGAAACAAGTGGCGAGCTAGGATACTGAAACAAAAGCAAGGATGAAACTACCACCCTAAAAACAAGTATAAAGCTACTTCAGAGACTGTGAGGGAGAGGAGGGGTGGTGGGAGGGAGACAAGAGGGAAGGAGGGAGAAGCGGGAGAGACACGCAGAGGGAAGCAGGAGAGAGGACGTGAGGGAGAAAGGGAGGGAGCGGGGGGAGACGGGAAGGGAAGGATGAACGTTCCTGAGAAG